ATCAACTCATATAGATGAAGGTCAAGAAAAGCTTATTAATAAAGCCTTAACTCGGTTCTTTACTTGTTGTGGAATTCCTTTTTGGGTTGTCAAAAGTCCTTTTTTTATTGATTTACTTAAAAATCTTAATGCGGGTTATGAACCTTCTAAACGAGGAACTTTAAGCAATCTTTGGGTTGATCAAGAAACTGCATGAATTACAGTAGATATTGATGAACAGCTTAAACGGCTTGAAAATTTAACATTAGGTAAATTTATTTTAATTAATTGTGTATAAAAATATATATTTAGAGATATACTTTATATAAGATAAAATCTGTATATATTTCACAAATTATATATATATTTGCTGTTCAAATTTCAAACTATTATAGTTTGACATATTCAAATTTCAAATCCCAAACTCAGGGTAAATTAATCTCTCAAAAACTTTATTAATAATCTTATCTAAACAAATTAAATATATTCTTATAGTTATATAGAATATATTTTAAAGTATTAACTCTATTTTTTTATTTAATTTTTTATAAATAGTGATTGTTTTTAGAAGTTTAAGATTTGTACTAAGTTGAATGCAAATATAATTATGATTTATATGAAGTATAAGATAATAAAATTTATTTTGCATAAAATATAAAATTATACAGATGTTCTATAGAATAGGTGGGCAATATAAGAAATAAGCTTCACTAATGATTAGTAATCATTAATTTTTTAATATTGGAGTTGCAAAGTTGGTGAAGTTTGCCCACCTATTCTATAAAACATCCAATTATACAATATAATTTGTATAAAAATAATATTTTCTTTTGTAAAGTATATCTCTAAATCTATTATATTACAATATATTAATTTTATATTTGTTACAAATTAGTTCTTGATGGCTGAACAAGTGGATCGCATCATTCTTATTATGCATTTGTTATTATTACACCTGATAAACATCAATTCGTCCATTCTGTTCAAGATTTTTCTTCTTATTCACATACTGGAAATTTTTTATCAAATGAAATTATCAAAATAATTGAAGAAATTGGTCCCAAAAAATTTGGAGCTGTTGTTTCTGATAGTGCTGCAGCAGTACAACTTGCAAAAACTCTTGTTGCTCAAAAATATCCTCATATTATACCAATTCGTTGTATTGCTCATCATATTTAATTAATAGCAACAGATATTATTAAAAAAACTTCTTTTGGGTCACAAGTTCTTTCAAAATGTCAAGAACTTGTTACTTATTTTCAAAATTCGCATATTTCTGGTGCTCAATTAAGAGATGAAATTACAAATTTATTTATTAAAGGTGGAGGTTTAAAATCATCAGTTAAAACTAGATGGTCTTCTGCGTGAGATTGTTGTGATTCAATTTTGAAATTAGAACGTGTTTTACGAAAAGTATATTTTATTTTATTTATTTAATATTATTTTATTAAGAAATTCTATTTTAACTCAGGTTAAAATAGTCTAAGTTATTACTAATACTATTAATTTAAGTTGCATAATTAAATTTTATATCTTATCAGATAACTTTAATATGAGTTAAAATAGAATTCTTATTTTTTATTTATTTATTTATTTATTTATATATATTTTTTTTTTAGATTGTAGAAAATGATCCTCAGGCACTTAATGAAAAATTAAGAAATTATATTACAAGTTGTGAATTTTGGGCCAATATTGAATGTCTTTATAAAGTTCTTGAACCTGTTAAAATGGCTGTTAAAACTGTTGAATCATCAAAGGTTAAATTTGCAGATGTATTTTTAATTTTGATTAAAATGGCTATTACAATTAAGGCTATACCAATGATAAAAACAACTCTTGAAAGACTTGAATTTCGAAAAAGTTGTATTGCTTTTTATAACAAAAGATGGGCTGAATTTGATACTGACTTTTATTTGTTAGCTTATTTTCTTCACCCTAAATATTGTGGTAAAGGCTTGACATGTGAAGTATTTCAAAAGATTCTTCAAAAAGCTTTAAATATCTGGAAGTTACAAGGTGGAGGAGAAATTAGTGCACAGAAATTAGTTGCACAAATTCATAATTATGACCTTCAAAAGCCTCCATATGACTCTCTTTTTCAAGATCATCTTGAACTTCCAGAAACTTGGTGAAAAGCATGCAAACAACCAAATCATCATCTTCAAAAACTTGCCTTGCTATTTCTTGCAATTACTCCTCATAATGCAGGGTGTGAGCATGTTTTTTCAATTTTAAATTGGTTTACTCAAAAACGTCGAAATAGGTATATATGTAGGGTTGTTAATAGAGTACTTCAGACTATAATAAAACATATAACTCACTTTTGAAATGCTCCAAAGTGGGTTATATATTTATTATTAACTAAAATATTCTATCAATAACCCTATACATATGTATGCTAATTGTAATATTAATATATGCTTTATTTTAATTTTTATATGTATTAATTTTATTAATTTATTAGATTGGCTATAAAAAAAGTTTCAAATATGGCCAAATTATATGCATATTATGTCACAAATGCATGCCATGAACTTAACTATGTTGGACAAAATCTTTCTGAAAGTGATTTTTTAAATATGATGCATGATTATGCACATTCACTTACTTCAAGTACTGTTCTGTTTGAAGAAGACATTCAATATGATTCTGAAGATAATTCTGAAGATAACTTAGAAGACTCTGCTACTAACGATTTGTCTGAAATCAATTTTAATATATTAAATATTGAAAATAGTGTTAATTTAAAATATGCTTTGATTAATACAGATCAACCTATAATTCTAGATGAAGATATTAATCATGGTGAAAAAGATTTTGATATTGATGCACTTACTAATCAAGGAATGCAGATGCAAAATATGTCAACAGACAAAGAAGATTAGTTTTTAGTAGGTTTGATCGATCTAGTTTATTGTTCAATTGTTAATTACAATTTAACCTTGTGATTTTATTTTGAGTATAGCGATAGTTTTATAAATTCTTATATAAATTTGAGAGCTATGACGCTTGCTTACAAAGTGCACAAATATGGTTTATTTTTTTTATAAATATGGAGTTAATAAACTATAACTATTCAATTCAAGGTTTTAAGCAAAATAATAAATCAATACATAGCATACTTATTTTAAGAATTAAAATACATATCATGTTTTACTTTTCTGGTATTATAAATCTCATGTTCAATTTTAAAAGAACTTTAAAAAACCTTTAAAATACTAATAAACTCTTACAATGATTTTAACTATCATACTGTATATTTACTCAAGAACCTCATTTCCAAACATACATTAGCATTTACTTAATTCTATTAAGATCGCCTAAATAACATTTATTATCTTGGTTCAATCTTCTAGTTCCAATTAGTTTTTTTAATGTAAAATAGTGTTTGGAACTGCAGCAGAGTAGAGATGTTAACGGAGTGCTCCAGGGTGGTGTGGTGCATACTCTGGCAGAGTATCCCTTAACACCACACCACGCTGAAGTATCAATCACCAAAGTGTAACCCAGAGTATAACCCGGAGTATAACCTGGAGTACTATGTGCTAAGTACTACGTAATACTCCGGAGTTCATAGTAAGACTTCCGTATGATTGGTTGATGTAAATCAATTACCTGGACTGATTTTTTTATTTACAGCTGTTATCATTATTCCTGGGACACCTTATGAAAAATTAACCGAATGATTATTTGGCCGATTCGATAAATTATTGATTTCGGCATGATCAATGTAACGTTTATTATTTACGGCGATAGTCTAACGCTATGTACAGTACCCTCAGAAAGTTTAACACCGTTACATAAAAATTTTGCGGTCAATTGAATATCGATATTCTTAGGCATGGTTGTAGCGAAATATAATTGATGGTTTTTTTTTTCTTTATATATCGAGAATGATTATGATGCGGTATATTTATACGTAATGATTAATAATGTACTTAACTTACACAATTCAATTTGCGTATATGTACGTATTGTACATTTGAATAAATTTATGTTAAGCTTTTATGTGTACATACCCATATTAAACTTGACAATCTCTGTTATCAAAGTTCTATCTCAGATTGTAACTCATAAAAATACCAGTCAGGCT